ATAGCTCCAAGCCAGGGAGGCAACTGGAGAACTCCTCCAAGAACAGCAAGAACCTTTCATCTTAAGGTTTACCTTCAAGAGAGGATGTGTGAAAAAGTTATTTCAGGAGCTAACTTCATCAACTTCAGCTGCTGCCATGACAATTCGGGCAGGGTTTTAAACAAGTCTGGTATTAAAAACGAGAAAAAGGGCTCTCCACAATTTCCCTAGGTACTCAAAGTTATACCACGTAACAAGTTCTTTAAAATTAAAGGCTTGAGAACCAATAATTCCGATGATGAAGATGGAAAGCTTAGTGTCACTGCGATGGCCATAAATAACCATGAAACAGCGGGGGCAGATAGATTTTCCCCCGCTAGCAGCGCAACAGTGTATGATTCATGCCCAGATAGTGACACAGATGAACCACCGATGTTTGCCGACACTTCCATGTCTAACTGGAAACTCCACGATGATAAGGAAAAGAAGGTAAACAATACCTTAATTTATTGCTTATTTTCTCTTCCGTTCTATGTTCCAGGAAAATGTTTAAAGTATTTTAGATTGTTACTCGTAAACCTAACAGGCTGATGCAGATAGAAAGTTTGAATGGAGCTGCATGGAAGAAAATAAACAGCATAGCCCTCGGTCAGTATTAGAAGAAGTGTCTACTTCAAACAAGCTCCCTACCTGATAATCGTTAGTATCTTTAAAGTTGTCCATAGTTACTCCCATCCGATTACAATTTGTTACTAATTCATTCCCCTGAAAAACAGCAAGACCTGTATCCAGGAAAAGACTCTTCTTGCCTAAGCTGCTAAAGCTGGACACAATATTCTCAACTTGGCTTTTGAATTTACTTCTTCAAACCAGACCAGTGAAATCAAGCAATGGAGAATTAAAGGAACTACAAGTGCCCGATTGATCCAACTCTTCCCGATCTTCAAAATCAAAAAGGGTTCTGCAAAGGAAAAAACAGGGGAGTTGGTAGAAATTAAGCATGACGAGGAAGAGAAAGGCAAAGGGATTAAAGAGTACTCTGCCGAGGTGATTCGAAAGGTCAGGTGTGATACTATGAAGGGACGGGGAAAACGATGCGGAGATGAATCAAACATTAAGCGATTATTGGAATTAGATATATTTAAATCAACCGAGGAATGGGAGAACGATTTTGAATCCTGGAAGTGGAATATCGGGAGAGTAATTGGAAACGCCATTGTGGAGGAGATCACAAGTGAAGTTGTAAAGTCCTTCCTATATAGCTAAGATGTAATTTGCTTACGTGTTTCAAAATTTAATAACATTGTGTAGTTTTAGTTATTCAGCTGTTGCTGTTCCTGTCTTATTTAGATATGTTACTTTATATAAATATACCAAACAAGTAGACAAAAGAAAGAAGTTAGCTAGAAATTTATCCGAAGTTCACCCAGAGTTGCTTAAAGCACATATTTCATTTTTCTGAAAAAGTAATGAAATTTAACAATTGATCCACATTCCACTATCTCATTGATTATTAAAAGGTTTTAATAGGATAGAATTTTCTAATAATATATTATATATTTTTAAAAACCGATTTTTAAAACTATATATTATATGCTTTCAAAAAAACGTTTAAATTATATGTTTTCAAAAAATATTTCCAAAAAATATTTTCAAAAAATATTTTCAAAAATATATTATATTAATATATATATTAAATAAACCTGGGACGAAAATGAGGGACTAAAGTTAACTTTAACCTTTTTATTTCTTTGAAGTGATTCTATCTGATATTTGCCAAGGAGACAGCTGCAGTTAAAGGTAGCAGTGAGGCTTGTAGTTCTAAGCTGTGAAAAACACAGATCATGTTTTCCAGACCATCCTAACAAATTTGCAACAGGACTATCAAGTACTATGTTGCCAGCACAAGTCATTACCATACAATGAAAGCTCAAAAAAAAAATTGTTCCCAAACGTACTTTCACAATATTAGACAGACAGCCTTTCCTAGTTACTTGTAACAAAGATTAATATCTAAATTATAGGAACAAATCTTGGCAAAGAAGTACAAATTACAAAAATTAAAAGGATTAACATGATAATATAAGACAACTATAAAATTCTTAAATTCATGCTTCCCCATTTCTCCATTTTCTCCCACAACCTAGTGACATAGCTGTAGGTAGAGTAGATTATAGAGCAGGCAGGGAGGAAGACTGAACAGGGGTAGAACCCCGGAGATTATTGCGAAGGCTAGCACTTTAGTTGGTCTCGTTGTTCTCGGCTCTTGGACTGCTACCCGCACTGCTATTAGAAAGAGAACCGAATGTAGTCTTTTGTAATACCCCGGTCGGAGATGATCCTAACTGAGGGTTATTGTCCCAGCCCTCTGTCATGAGATTAAGTGCTGATGAGTTCTTACACTCACCTCCGCTGCTGTTGGTACTATGCAATACCTCACCAAGAGGACCACCCATGGAAGACTCCCAAGAGATGGGAATTCCATTCGCTTGCCTTTGGTATGATTCATGCATAACACTGCCCACTCCCAAGCCCATGTGTATTGGATCGAATTCACGTGATAATCTGAGAGGTGATAGTGTTACTTTCTCATTGTTGGTGGACGAAGTAGAGGACATGAAATCAGAGGCAGCCATGGGTACTGATATGGAAAGTTGGGTCCTGTCTGATTGAACATCAACCTCAGGCCAGGAAATGGCTGAACGATCAGACTGGGTTTTAGGCCACTCATCCATAAACTGGCGAAGAGAATACTGGGTTTCAGTTTCATGACTGGTAAGATCTTGAGAGGAACCAAAATTTCTGCACTTAATCAAGGTAGAACTCTTATGAGAAGGGTTAAGCAGTGAGTCAGAGGAAACAACTCCGAACTCGGTTCTCGAGTTTTGCTCATATGAGATCTGCTGCTTCAGGATCAAGAAAGGGTTTTCTTTAGATTTTAGGTCATCGGTCAGAGATGCCATGGTGAGTCCATCATGTATTCTTTCACCCACAGTGTCTTTACTCAGAAGCAACCTGGAAGAGAACCAACAGTTATTGTTCTGCTAAAAGAACCTTCCCTAGCAGTAACTAGTATGACCAGTCACTGTCAGGGATGACAGAAGATAATTCTACAATCTACAATTATTGTTCTTTAGAAATCAACACAAGATAAGAATAACAACGGGCAGAAGGTAAATGTTATCAACTACAGCTAACAGACAAGGAATGAATGCTGAGAGGATAATTCTGTCACCTGTTCAATGGAGCTGCCGCAGAAAGGTTGGATGCACTACCAGGCTGCAAATTCTTGAACTGCTGTTGTGCAATGGCTAGGCTGATGGACTCGCCGCTGCCACTGGTTGGCCCTACAGCTGATGCTGAGGAAGATGAGACTGTAGGCATCAGTTTGGTGGTAGTGGCCGCGGCGGAATGGCCAGATTGACCTTCCACAGGCTTTCTTGAACGATGGCGACCCCTGTTCATATGCCGCTCGCAATACTTCTGATCAGCAACCGCGTCTCTTGAACACCGCCATTTCTTTCCATCTGTTCTACGACACCGTCCTGGCTCTGGATCAGTGTTATTTGAGAACCCAAGATGAAAAGCACCCCATCCCACTGTCGCAACATCATTAAACAAAAGCTCTTTTTAATAAATAAAAAATCATCATTAAACAAAATGTCATTAAACAGATTAACAAAGCAACAAAATATAAAAACCATCACCAACAAATTCCAAATAATGGATTCAAAACCAACGGTAAAAAGTCTTAAGATGCTGACAACACCCAAATCAGTTAGCTAAACAGCGTTTGGTACAAAATTAAACATTCTGGTTTACCATTGATTTTAATGTTATTTTTTACCTTCAAAACACACAAACATGTTGGGAGAAGTTGCCTCGTCGTAAATGGGACGAAAACAAATGTAGAAATGAGCTATAGTTGAGAATTGAAGTGTCTTGACAGTGATGTTTTTTATTCAAACAAACTATGATGTCAAGTAGCGCGTGTACTGTACTGTTTGCTTAGTTGAACAGGGTTTTCCGTATTCACAGATTGGGGGGAGAAAGATAATAGAAACCCCATAAAAGTACTTATTTGCCAATAAGAACAGAAAGTAAAGTGCAGCACTAACTGAAGCCTCTCCCCTTCCCACTACCAAATCGTTCTGTGTGTGGGAGAGAGATATTTGCTGCAACTATTTCATCAAGCATGGAAATTAAATGAACATTATATATTTTTTTTCGATTTCATTATATGGACATTATAGAAAAAGGAGGGAAAAGGTTTTCCTTTTTTTGTTTCTTTCTCAGAGAAAAGACAACTTACATGTATTGGGTCTGAGGAGTCCACCAGAGAAAATAGAGAAATTAGCAGAATCAAGGGATTTTCTTATAGGAATGAGAAGATTAGATGGTATAGGCACATTAGAAGTTATGTATTTGTAGATCAAAGCCTGGTGTTCCAGCTCCATCCATTGAGATGGAGTGAATGGACCTCTAGCTCCTGCTATCACCCCGTGCATATTTGCACCATTAAATCCTCCACTGCTATAGCCTGGAACAAAAAAAGGAAAAAGATTAAAACAAGAATAAAATGAAATGAAAGCAGAAAAGCCAAAATTTCAATGCTTTCAAAGCAGTGCAATAGAAATAAAAAAAATGTCGGTAGTTCCTGCACTTTTGTGTAAAAATGGAAAAATGGGAGGCAGGTCTTCTTTTCTTCCCATAGTCACGTTGATTTATTACCAAAAATTAAATCTCATCCAAAACAGGAAGATGAAAAATAAAGAACCTCGCTTTTTTTTCTTTTGACAAGACTTAAAACAAAAACCGCTCATAAATTTCCATGAAAAGACCCGTCACCAGAACCTATGGAATCAAACCAGAAAACCAATAAGAAAACATGTCTAATCTTTGCGTCAACCAAACATGTCACAGCCATTTTACCCCTTCCATAATTTCCTCAACTGATATTTTGAATAAGAAATGACAAATGATGTTAGAATCTTAACATCTTTCGACATATGTATATATATACATGTACCTGTGTTTCTACTGTAAGAGGGTGATGAGAGGTGAAAGTAAGGGAATGCGACATTTAGAGAGCCCTTATCCACTGAGAGAGCTTCTGATTTGGGAGCAGAAAAGCTCAGCATTTGTTGCTGCTGCTGTTGTCCGTCATAGAAGATCGAGGTATTGGATCTTGGTAAAGTACCTCTCTCGTTCAGAAACATTGCCTTGGAGGCTGAAAAATCGTCAAACTTGGCAAGCTTTGAACTCCTCCAATCATCCTCATTGTTGCCAGATCTCTCTTGCTTGAGGAAACCGGACCCGTACCATTTCTGCTTCGTCTCAGGACCTGAAGCAAGAGAAGTAAAACCAGTGGTAGTAGCTGTAACCTCTGAACCCACGAACTCATTCAAACCCACCACCCCAAAATCCATATAGAAAACACACCCCACAATCCAACTTACAAGACAAACTCAAGATTCAAGCAATGGAGCATTGGGTTATTACTTGTGAAGTGGGTAATTGTTCCGTTTTTAAGTGTATGGTTCATAGGTCTATGGTTTAAGCTTTATCTCAGACCCAGACCAGACCAGAGTAGCTTTCGTTTAAAGATTTGATGTAAAGATGGAATAAAGATAAAATAATCGAAGAGAGAGAGTAATGGAGGCAAGGCGAAAACTGAGCGGACAAAGCTAGTCACTAATATAAGGCTAAAAAATAACGCTTTTGGTTAAATAGGTGACAGATTAAAAGTATTACAGAAAATGTATTATATTTTCATTTGAAATATTATTTGTGTTGATAATAATAATAGTAATAATCGATAATATAATCGTCATATGTAAAATGAGTTAAAAAAATATTAACTTTAACATAATCAGTTAATTATTGAAAATATTATCAATCATAATAACATAACATGTAGAGCTCATATAACGTAACAGGTAGCACTTTTTTAAAGTTGATAGAGTCTTAGAAATCCGACGATAACAAAATAAGTTAATTACTTAATTTTTTATCAATATTATCAACATATTAGGTAGCTCCTAAAATGATACCAAAATTTAAGTTGATAGAGCTTTAGAAATCCGACGATAACATAACTGATTAATTATTATAAATATATCAACCATAATAACATAACAAGTTGCGTTTATTTAATGTAATAGATACCGCCTTTTTAAAATCGATGGGGTCTTAAAAATCCGACTATAACAAAATATGTTAATTACTTGATTTGTTATCAATATTATCAACATATTAAGTAACGTCTAAAATGTTACCAAAGTTTAAGCTGATAAAGCCTTAGAAATCCGACGATGACAAAATATGTTAATTATTGGAAACATTATCATCCATAATAACATAACAAGTAGCGTTTATTTAATGTGATAGATAACATCTTTTTAAAGCTGATGAGTCCTTAGAAATTCGACGATAACAAAATAGGTTGATTTTTTATTTTGTTATTAATATTATCAACATATTAAATAGCGCCTAAAATATTACCAAGTTTAAGATGATGGGACCTTCAAAATCCCACGACAACAAAATATGTTAATTTCTTATTTTGTTATAAATAAATATTAGGTTGCGCTTGATAATGTTATTTTGAATAAATAAGTTTGTTGCTATCTGGAATATTAAAGTTGTGTTTAATGATATCGGTAGGATTTAATATATTATGTATTTATATATGAAAATTATTTTTAAAATAAATATCGATACTACTATGATGTGATGGTCGATACTTTAGCAAATATCAATACTTTTAGAGTAAGTATGGATACATTATTATTAACATTTAGTATCTATAGTTTTAGAGTAAGAATTCATACTTTCGAATTTAAAAAAAATATTTTAAATTGTTAAGTTGTATATATTTTATCGATTATATTACAATCGAAATAGTATTTATACTTTTAGAGTACGTATGGATACATTATTATTAAACTTTAGAGTATCAATACTTTTAGACTAAGTATATATACTTTCGAATTTAAAAAATATATTTCAAACGGTTAAGTTATATATATTTTACCGTTTACAATATTATTAACCTTTAAACAAACTAGTAGCTAGTTTAACGTAATAGGTAGCGCTTATTTAACTTAATAGATATCACCTATTTAACATAATAGGTAGCGCCTATTTTATTTTACCGCTTATATTATTATTAACCTTTAAACAAATTGGTAGTTAGTTTAACGTAATTGGTAGCACATATTTTATTTTATCGTTTATATTATTAATAATCTTTAAACAAATCGGTAGGTAGTTTAAGGTAATAGGTAGTGCGTTTTTTTTTAACGTTTACATTATTAGTAACTTTTAAACAAACCAGTAGGTAATTTAACGTGATATGTAGCACCTATTTTATTTTACCGTTTATATTACTAGTAATTTTCAAACAAACCGGTAGGTAGTTTAACATAATATGTAGCGCCTATTTTATTTTAACCAGTAAGATTTTAAATATAAATATCGACACATACAAAATAGGTATAGATATTTTTTCAGGAGAATAGTTGGACATAGCTTACTGTTGAAATAATATTCATACTTTTAAAGTAAGTATATATACATAAGCTATACAATTTATGTTTCAAAATTTTTTAATAGTTCTTCATATTTTCCACCTACAACATTAATTTAATATTTTCATTTACACAAAAAAATTATTTAATTATTTAGATTTTTTTATAAAATATTATTTAGAATTTAAATTTAACAATTTTAACTAAAGATAATAATAAATATGTAATATTTATGTTTATTATTTTTTATTTAATAATAATATATATTGTAATATAAAAATAAATCATTACCCGATTATAATTACTAAATTAATGTCTTAAAACTCACTTAAAATATAACCCTAAATTAATATTTTTCACAGTGAAGTGTGAACACTTATATATATATATATGTATGTATCGATACCTACTGATAAACAAAGTTTATCAGTTATAACATTTTTTAATATTTCTTCATGTTTTTCACCTACAACATTATGAGTCTGCCAATATTTTAGGTAGCGCTTTACCGAATTTGTTAATTATCTTATTAAATTTTTTATTACGTTGTTTCTTAATCGTATATCGGTATGTCTTTCTTTAAACAAATCCTTAAGGGTACGTTTGGTTCACAGAATGTAAGATTACCAGAGAATAGGATTACTGGGAATGTTGTATTTTGTGTTTGGTTGATTTAGCAGGAATGTAAGATTACCGTGTTTGGTTAAATAAATAAAATATTATTTGAATATATATTTGACAAAATTGTCCTTATTATATATTTGTTTTTTAACAAGTTGGAAAATATTATATATTTTCTTTAAAAAATTTAAATTCATAAAATTAATATTTTTTTTACAAAATTAAAAAATATAAAAAGTTTTAATGAAATGGTAAAATTTTATTTTAACCTTTGAACTTCATATAAAATTTTAATTATAGACTTTTTTTATAAATCTAAAATAGTTTAAGAATAAATTTGTAATATAACCTTCATAGAATTTTTATTATTCAATGACAGAGAATGATATTTTTTAGAGAGAAAAAATTAAGGGCATTTTAGTCTAAAACACCGGTAATACAACAATATCTAAGGAAAGTGAGGTAATGACATTCTCGATAATATACCCTAAAAATCTATTATTGATAATAAAGCATTACCGGAATGAGATTCCAGCCAACCAAATATAGAAATATAGATTCTTTTCGTATTAGAATCTCACATTACTTAATCTAAACATCCCTAAATACCAGTGTCTATCACTACATATCTTAGACACGGAAAGAAAAAAAAGATCTACCTTTATCTAAAAATACCGATAAGAAAACCTACTCTTGGTGTTTAAGCAAAAGATGTATTTCCATCGTAAATATTTAATTCTAAAGTCTGGCACGATAAGTTAGCTTAATATATTTCTCGCCTGGAGTTTACTAGATTTACAAAAACCTCCTTGAAAAGCAACCAAATTTACTTGGGACGGTAAAGTTTTATACACAGATATAGAAGGGTTTATCCGTAATTTCGAATCATCCATGTGCAAAACTTTGACCCGTCTCTTTTGATTTATCTCTTCTTACTTCCTTTGAGTTAAATCATGATAATAACTTTTACGGTTTTACCAAAATATCACTCGTACACATAATAATTATCAGTCAATCATCATTTTTTATAATATTATCGATTTAACATTCTTTATAATAAAACGCAAATCGTCATCCGCGTCTTCGCGAGATTTCTGACATATACGTAAGGCGCAAATCATTATATTCGCCTTCCATTATTAGTACCTGAGCATCTCAGCTTTTAAACTCCACTATAAATAAGAATTCGCTCTGAATGCAAACATCACCACACCAAAATTACTTGATTATTTTTGTTTTTATTAATTTATTATATTTTTGTTGTAAGGTAAAACTATTTTTTATTATATTATATTTATTTTACATATGATTATTTGAATAAACTAATTATTTTATATTATTTTTTACAGTTGTAAAATTGGAAAGTAGAATCATACTTCGAGATATTTTTGCCGATATGGTAACAATATAAATTATGTTATTTAAATTATTGTGATTTTTTAAAAAAATCGATTAGTTTATATTTTAATTCATATAGTATTTATTTAATTAAGCGTATTTCAACTATTGTTTTTACATATATAAGACTATCGATCTTTCAAACTCTCAAAATGACGCGTATTTCAGCTATTGTTTACTATGATGGAGAAATTTGAGAAGATGAAACTGACGTCGTTTTCGCATCAAATCATTATGTCAAAATATCCTTTAAGAGAAACATCAATCTTGAGGAGCTGATAACGAAAATTTCAAGGAATGTTCATGTTGGAAGTACTAAAAGATTGTCCTCACTTCAGTACAGATTTCCAACCATAGTATTTTCGTTAACTTATACAGCGTTCGAACTATTCAACGATGACGATGTTGCTATGATAGTTGATTCTCAAAATCAATAATCATATGCCGATACATAGATGTATGCAACATTTTTTGAAGTGGGTGTTGTTCGTGGTATGTCATTATGCTCTCATTATGGGTTGGCTAAACAAGCTGATCAAGTTGACAGCCCAACTCAAGTAATGTGTAATGATTTAAACTTGCTAATTGGAAATCCACATCATGGTGCGATCCTATCAAGTTTAATGGGGATATATCCATTGGTAACTTGTTACAATCTGTACCGAGATCGGTCCACAAACAATCTGTATGGCAACATCGCATCCAGTTCAAGGGGAATACATTCATCTGCCAATTTATTTGACTTGAATATGGAGATTGATGCCCTCAACGCAGAAATCTGTGCGGTACCCATTTGGCACGATGCCTTCAAGTTCTAGGGACAAACATTCAATTGTGAGCTTCTTCTACCTCAATGTCAATATGCCTTCAAGTTCAAGGGGAAGGCATTAAACTACCAGCTTGGTCGACCTAAATGTTGACATCATGGAGGAACCCTCATCTCCACCAGAAGAACCTATTCGTAAGTCATGTGTAGATGCTGCTGAGACTAGACTATTCGTTCAGCCATAATCACCACAGTTCAACATGGACTCCAATGATGATAATGTAGATGAATTTTTCACAAATATTGTACACACTAAACCTCCAGCA